CAGGCCGGAAGAGACGGCGCCGGGTGACGTCACTTCCGCTCCCCGCCGTGAGCTCGGCGGTGCCGGATGGGGTTCTCCAGGGCCTGGGCCGCAGGTTAGACCCTTTCAGGAAGGGAACCACCGCCACCATTCCCCGCCGCAGTACTGCAGAGTTAATCCAATACCTCCACACTGAGGCTGAAGCAGGAGAGTTGCTGTGAGGTCCAGCCACCCTGGGCTAGTTAGACCCTGTCTCAAGAAATAACGAAACAGGCGGGGCATTTAGCTCAGTGGTTCCGCGGCCGCCTGCCTTGCCAGCTTAAGGACCCGAATTCGATCCCCGTTACCAAAAAATAATAAATAATAATAAATAAATAACATAGTATACACATCGTTTATCACCCTCATGCTTGCTCCACAGGTCCCCAAAAAACAAAATGTAAGAAAGTGGGTAAAAGCTGTTTGTGGCTCAGTAATGCAGATACGCACTCATCAAGGCTGACACAACTAACCCTACGGAATGCGCCTAACGCGCTAAAAACAGAAACCAACACTGAGCATCCGAGTAGCGCCAGTCAAATAATCTGGACGAGGAAGCTGTCTGGGGACAAGTTTATTACACAGGACCCATCCCATCACAAAGGTGACTAAGACTCCTCAAGGGAATAAACTCATATTCTGGGTGTAGATTTGCTTTTCCCCTAATTACGCTTGTGCTGGCACCATATATGGTGTCTTTAAGATGTTTCACCCATAGTCATGGCATTCACATGCACTCTTTTGCCTCAAGGAACCCTTTTTACTGAAAAAAGAAGTACGACATTAGGCATGTGTCCACTATATATCCCATCACTCACAAGTACACAACCTCAATGAAAGGAAATTAAGTATGTCACACTAACATGAGACTGCCACGTGACCATTTTTGGCTGTTGCATATAACACTAAACCAAGAGCCCAGAAAAATAAAAATAAAGGAGAAAGTGGTTCTATTGGCTGCAGCAATTGATTCCAAAAACCAAAGGAAACTTAGGGTATGGCTATATAATTGAGGCAAGGAGGATAATGTCTAAACCATCCAAGGACCGTCATGCCTCATAGAAGAGTCACAGAAAATTACAAGTGCAAGTGGCAGGACTACCAATGGCACAAAGCACTTGGGACACTCTGGGCACACCACAGTTGCTTATATGCATATTTATATAAATGAAATGTACACTTCTTCCCATATCTCTGTTTCTGTGGTACCAGGGATCGAACTCAGGACTTTGCGCTCTGAAGGCAGGCATAGTGCTGCTGGGCTAAATCCCTAGCACATTCCATACCTATTTTGAATACAAGTTAGTGGAGTTAGAGTTACAGTTCAGTAAATTAGGAAATAATATTGAGAATGTCATGACATCTGAAGAGAAATGAATATGACCTGTGATAGGAAACTGCACTCACTTAGAAAAGTAGGTCCATCTCTTGAATCATGTAGGGTAGAATACAAAATTAACTAATGAAGGAAACTGAAATCCTCTAATGAATGTGCATATGGATGATGGGTAGCCAAAATGTGCACTCAGTTATCAGTGTATCAATCTTGACTCTAAATTTACCTTCAGTCCCTGCTCTAGAATAAAGACAAGCATTTTTTTTAAAAGTAGGTTTATCATCATCATTCACAGTTGAAACTGAGAATGTAGTTTGTTTTTTGTGAACGTTGCTGGGGTTTTTGATACTGGTTTTTTGTGACAAGTCACGTTCTGTAGTCCAGGCTGAACTTGAACTCACTGCATATCCCAGGATGGCCTCCAACTCACAGCAATCCTCCTACCTCAGCCTCCTAAGTGCTGGGATGACAGGCGCGCGCACCACACCAATCTCAACAGTGGCTAACTTACGCATACAGTCATTTACTTATCAGTTATGTGATGGGGACACACTTTGAACTTGGCTTCAGAGTTACAAGTGGGTTTGTCTTGTTTCTTGCTTCTTTGTGACACGGTTTCATTATGTAGTCCAGGTGGTATTTGTTGAGACAGTCTTGCTACGTAGTTCAGTCTGGCCTTGCACTCTCTTGCCTCAGCCTCCCAGGTGCTGGAATTAATAAGTGTGTACCACCACACTCAGCTCTAGAATGTTTTATTTTTATTATTTAATTTTTTGGTACCAGGGATCAAACTTGGGTCCTTGTAGTTGTGAGGCAGGCGGCAGCACCACTGAGCTAAATCCCCAGCCCTACAATTTGTTTAGGAACACAGGGACACCTTACATTTGTCTTGTCCCTTGAAAATTTGTATTGGTGCCTTTGAACTATACAGAACGGTATCACTTTGTCATACCCACACGTGCACTTTTTAATTTCTACCCTTACCATTACACCTTTTTGCCTTTTCTCCCACCTTCCCCTCTTCCCCATGCTCCTGTTCTGAGAGTCCCTACTTTTACTTAAGCATTTAACTGTGCCTATTTTAAGTTGCTGGGTATAGGGGAGCACTGAGGGGCACAATGCGAAGGACCTGCTCTTGCTGCATCCAGCTCTGCAGGATGGACTGCACAGGCGCGTATGGTACCCGGCCCATAGATCCAGAAGCCTCGGTCCACCTTCCAGGGGCACTCAAAACATGGATAATGCTCAGAACCCTGCATGGGAGAGGCAGTATAGCAAATGACCGACCAGCTGCCTGGCCTCTTTTCCATGGCCCTCCTGGCTAGACACTATTCTAGGCTATGTGGTGCCTATTGATCCAACCCCCTCTGTGCACCTGCCCACATTAAGCCCTCACTCGAATGTTCTGTCATTACTCTCCCAAGGGACACTGCTGTTTTCAAGCCTTCATTTTTGTTTGAGACAGGATCTCACGATATAGTTCAGATTGTCCTCGAAATTGCAATTCTCCTGCCTCCGTCTCCTGGGTGCTGGGATCACAGGCCTGCACCAACATGCCTGGCTAACACTTTATGGCAGCGGTGGCCCAACTCTTTCCACACTGGCACACCAGATGTTCCTCTACACTTTGGAGCTTTGATTCATTTTTGTCTAGTGATTGTACAACTCCAGCTCAGTCACCAGAAAACTTCCCTTCTCCAGCCAGTGGACTAGAACTAGCGTCTGGCAGACCCTAGAGTACAAGGTTTCTACTCTGAGATTCTATACCTAGGTGTGTATGATACCTGATTATTTCTAGAATGACAAACAGGAAGGAACTTTATCATTAAGGTTCTGACTGGGCTGAGTTCCACAGAGGGGGTATATGATGGGTCGGTCTGAGGTCAACAGGTGCACGTCTTTCAGTGTTTGTCTTTGCCGTGTAGCCCACGCTGGCCTCAAATTCTCAGCTATCCCCCTGCTTCAGCCTCCCAAATGCTGGGATTACATGCATGCCCCAAGCCCAGCAACAGGCTCATGTCTTTTAAAGAGGTGGTAGGCCTCCCTGGCACCCTTCCAGCTGGCTTCACGAAGGGGCTGTGAAGCAGGAAACTCAGCCAGTGCCTTGACTACAAGCATGTTAGACCATAAGCAGAAGAAAATAATTCGTTTTTAAAAATAAAAATGGAGACTCCAATCATTAATTATTTCATTACTCGAAAATGAATCCAGATCTGGGCCTAACTCAGATGGGTGAAGTATGTTTCATCTGATGCTGGGTCCCAGAATTTTACACAGGTAAAGACAGCCCTTGGCTGTGTCATTTAATTCAGACTGTGCCAAAAGTAAAAGGCTACCCTACTATGCAGTGTGATCGAAAAGTACAGTGAACACATACAAGATGAAAAGTATAGCAACAGAAACGGCCACAAATCACTTCAGAGTACTCTCCTTATACCCTGTTTTAAACACACTGATCCCATCGTCCTTGCCACTTTGTGTGGCAGTTCTGGAAGCCCTCTTTTGTTGTCTTCCATTGCACTGTCATGGCTTTGTGTCCTAAATTAATTCAAACTTTCAAGGCCATTTTGACCTCTGAGGAGTCAGAAGTCACCCAGTGCCAGGTCTGCTGAATAAAGTGGATGAGGTTTTACAAGCCTGCCCTCCCAGTGGTGGCAACGAGTAGCACATCTGCCATATTTTTTTATTATATCTCACAAAGACACAAAACAGGACTTCCAGAACTACCCCAGGAAGCAGTGTGTTTGAAGGGGAAGTCTTTAAGGGTGTTAATAGTAATGTTTGTTTTTTTCTACCACGACAGACTAACACTTACTGTATTTTTCAATCACACCTAAGCTTCCTGACCCTCACCTTAGAAATATTTTGAGGTGGGCACCAAAAGCAAACAAAACAAAACAACAACAACAAAAAAGCAATTAGGGCTCGTCAAACTCAAAAGATTTTACTGGTAAATGCAAAGGAAAAACCTAGAAAGTGGAAATGGCAATGTAAGCAAGGAGAAAACAAACTTTAGACCACAGACGTGATAAATGGATCAATACATAAAAATAAGCAGCTCCTATGACTCCACAGCAAAAAAATGAAGTACCCAAATTTTAAAATGACAAACAAGTATTTCCCCAAAGACATGTAAATGGCTTACAAGTGCATGAAAAAAGATGTTCAAAATGAGCTATTCTGAGAAATGCAGGTCAAACCCACAATGATAACACATTACACATTAGGATGGCTCTTAGGAAAAATTCAGAAGAGAGTGACAGCAAAGATGGCAGAGAAAATAGAACCCTTGTACATTGCTCATAGAAAAATAAACCAACAGTAATTTCACAAAAGTATGCATTTCTCATAAAATTAAATAATTGACCATATAATACATCAAACCAATCTCTTAGCTTACATTCCCCCCAAAATAAATTCACTAACTCAGAGACCGCTGGGCGTGGTAGCGCATGCCTGTAAGCCCAGCACTCGGGGAAGCTGAGGCAGGATGATTGCTGAGTTTCAGGCCAGTCTTGGCTACATAGTGAGTTCAAGGCCAGCCTGAACTACACAGTGAGACCTTGTCTCAAAACAAACAAAAAACAGACAAATGGATAAAATGCAGTTTTACTAGCCACTGAAATGGGAGGAAATCCTGTCATCTGCCATACTACACTTCAAACCTGGGACACTGTGTAAAGTGAAATAAACCAGGTACAATAAGACAAACACCGCACAATATCACAAGTGGAATCCAAAGAAGTCAAAGCACAGAGTGAATAGTAGTTACAAAAGGCTAGGGATTGGGAGGAAAGGGAAGAAACTGAACAAAGGTACAAAAAAGATGATGACTAAGTATGTGAAAATTATGTGTGATCTTGTGATTTTTAGTTCACACTAATGTAGTATATACTTGAAACATAAGACAGTAGTAAGTGTATCCATGACACAACAAATAAAAGCTGAATTAGGTGATGGATACACTGGGTTTGTCCTTATCATTTCTTAATGTTTAATTATGCAGATATCAGGTCCCAAATTTAAAACAATTTTCAAGCACATTAAATATACTTTAAGGAACACTACAGTGAAAATTAGAAACTTACAACTAAAGTTATAAAAGTACACAAATAGTAAAATACTTGAAATACTCAAAGTTTATCTAAAGAACCATCCAGAAAGCCATGACTGTTATATAAGACTTTAGGATAGTAAAACAAATACCTTACCACATACATGTAGTTTCTGTTTAAAATGCCACTTAGCCAAAGTTAAATAACATAAAAAGTGATTTTCCAACAGCACTTCTACCTTTCATCTAGTTTTTCACTGTGAAATCAAACTACTTGCCAGAACTACTTCCACAAAATTCATTCGCTCTATAGGAACTCCTCACAAATTTATTAAGACTCAAGGAAATACAAAGAGGCTTGCATGTTTTGTATTCTACATAGCTTCAAATTGAGTTCAATGACACTTCCATGTTCCTTAAATTCAGGGAGCATCCTCAGAGTTCAAGCCACAAATGAAGGTTTACATTGCATATATTCTTAAAATTTCTTGAAACTGAATTGCAACTGCTAACGATCAAGGACTTCCCGAAACATTTTCTGAATTCCTTACAAAGCATTTCTCTCCAGAGTTTTCATGTTCATTAATGTCGGGACTTATGTTAGCATCAGCACTATTTAAGGTTTCCTCACATTCCTTATATTCATAGGGTGTTGTTGCAAATGGTGTCGTCTCTCCAAAAGATGCAGGCGCAGGTGTCTCTCCAAATGCTGTGGGTGTCTCTCTGAATGGTGTGGGTCTCTCTCCAAATGGTGCCTCTCCGGTGTGTTTTCGTAAATGTTTGTTAAGGCCTGAGTGCTCAGTAAAGGCTTTTCCACAGTACTTACATACATAGGGCTTCTCTCCAGTGTGAATTCGCATGTGAACACGAAGGTACGAGGACCACAAAAATGATTTTCCACATATCATACACTGAAAGGGCTTCTCCCCAGTATGCGTTCGCATATGAACAGGAAGGTAAGAAGAACAGGTAAATGTCTTTCCACACACTGTACACTGAAAAGGTTTCTCTCCAGTGTGAATCTTCAGATGTACATTAAGATACGAGGAGGAAGCAAAGGCTTTCCCACAGTGGTCACATTCAAAGGGTTTCTCACCTTTGTGACTTCGTACATGTGCAATAAGGCCTGAGGAAGTAGTGAAGGCTTTCCCACACTCTTGACATGCATAGGACTTCTCACCAGTGTGATTTCGTAAATGTATAGTAAGGCCTGAGCGTGCAGTGAAGTCTTTCCCACAGTAAGTACATTTATAAGGTTTTACTCCAGTGTGAATTCGAAAGTGGGTCTCCAGGGATGAAGAATTTCTGAAAGACTTTGTGCATAGCTTACATTTGAAGGGCCTCTCACTACTGTGAGTTTTTATGTGTACTGTAAGTTGAGCAAAGCTGGTGAAACCTTTCCCACACTCCTTACATTCATATGGCCTTTCCCCAGTATGTGTCCTTACATGCTTAGTAAGACATGAGCGCTCAGGGAAGGTTTTCCCACATTCTGTACATTCATAGGGTTTCTCCCCAGTGTGAGTTCGCATGTGAATGCGAAGGTAAGAAGATCGGGAAAATGCTTTCTCACACAGATTACACTGAAAGGGCTTCTCTCCAGTGTGAGATCTCAAGTGTGCAACAAGAGAGGAGGAATAAGCCAAGGCTTTACCACATTTGTAACATTCAAAGGGCTTCTCCCCTGTGTGAATTCTTATATGTTCAACGAGCGCCGAGGATGTACTAAATGCTTTCCCACACTCCTTACAGTCATAGGGTTTCTCACCATTGTGAATGAGTACATGCTTAGTAAGGCCTGACCGGGCAGTGAAGTCCTTCCCACAGAAGTTACATTTGTAGGGTTTTATTCCAGTGTGAATTCGAAAGTGAGTCTTAAGGCATGAGGAATTTCTAAAGGTTCTTGCACATACCTTACACTGAAAGGGTTTCTCGCCAGTGTGAGTTTTTGTGTGCTCAGTAAGTTGAGCAAAGCTAGTGAAGGCTTTTTCACATAATGTACATGCATAGGGCTTCTCCCCGGTATGTTTTCGTAAATGAATAGTAAGCCATGAGCGTCCACTGAAGGCTTTCCCACATACTTTACATTCATAGGGTTTCTCTCCAGTGTGAGTTCGTATGTGACCAAGAAGGTAGGAAGAACGTGTAAATGCTTTTCCACATACGTTACACTCAAAGGGCTTCTCACCAGTGTGGGTTCTCAGGTGTGTAGTAAGATAAGAGGAAGAAGCAAAGGCATTCCCACAGTGGTCACACTGAAAGGGTTTCTCTCCTGTGTGACACCTCATATGTTCAGTAAGGCGTGAGGGCTGAATGAAGGCTTTCCCACATTCCTTGCACTCGTAAGACTTCTCTCGAGTGTGCTGTCGTAGATGTACAATTAAGCTGGAGCGCTGTGTGAAGGCTTTCCCACATTCCTGACATTTATACGGTTTTTCAACAGGGTGGTTCTGCATATGAATATTAAGGTAAGCTGGGTGTGTGAAGAATTTCCCACATTTCTTACATTCATAGAAATTTTTCTCAGTGGGCATTTGAGCATACCCATCACTGTTTGTGGAGAGAGCAAAAGCTTTCCCACACTGCTCCAATTCAGAGAGGTTTTCTCCACTGTGACTTTTCATGTGGGCCCGAAGCTGTGACTGATTAACAAAAGCTTTCCCAGAGTCGCTGCCCTCAAAGGATTTGTCTTGAGTAGTTCTGTGGAAAGTATCTAGAGCGAGGGTAGAAGGCTCTGCACACTGGTTCAACAGAGAGAATTTCTCTTCAGGAGAGGTTTTTTCCAGCAGCGGAAGGAAGTCTTTTTCATATTGATTAGACTCTGAAGTGTCCTCTGTATTCGGAGTACTCATATGTACCTGAAAGCCTGGATATTCACTGAAGACTTTTCCAGATTGCTTCGAGTCACAGAGCTCCCCTCCATTGTCACTTCCTGCCTGCAGGAAGGGATGAATAAGGATTATGTATTTTTCAGATTTACATGAGAATGTGTACTTGTGGGAACTCAGTACAGTGGACCCTCAAGTTATGGCTGGCTTGACATATGAACTACCAACAGAATTTCAGTTTTAACTTAAGACCAAAGTCTTTTTTTGTTTGTTTTGTTCTTCTGGTACCCAGGATCTTGCACTTACAAGACAGGCAAAGTGCCACTGAGCGAAATCCCCATCCCATTTTTTGAGGCAGGGTCTCCTAGTTCAGGCTGGCCTTTAATTTTTGACGAGGCCCCTGCCTCAGAGCTTACAAGACAGGCAAAGTGCCACTGAGCGAAATCCCCATCCCATTTTTTTGAGGCAGGGTCTCCTAGTTCAGGCTGGCCTTTAATTTTTGACGAGGCCCCTGCCTCAGCCCAAAGCCTTCAGTTTGACTGGAATGCCAGATGCTTGTGCTTCCAGATGGTCTCAGATACATATTTAACTCTTAAAGAGCTCTGAAAGGAATATTACAACATCCTTTCCTGTGTGGGATCAATTGAGAAATCCCGGGCCAATGTCTAAGGACACGGAGCTCTGCCTGTATACAGGAGTGAGACTTTGAAGGGTGTGTAGAGGAGCCTGAGCCTTCAACCTGAGTCACCACCAGCCCTTGGGAATGAATTAAATTCCTAAGTCAAGGGTCTATTATTCCAAGTTTCACACTGTGGGACATATCTCTAGGGACAATGTCTTCTGAGGGCAAAGGTCCTTTAAATTATCTCTCATTTGTGTTGATAAAATTGCCAATCTTCCCTCTTTTTTTTTTGGAGACAAGATTTCACTGTATAGTTCAAGCTGCCCTTGAATGTACTATGTCGTCCAGGCTGTCCTTTTATCTCACAGCAATCCTCCTGCCCAGCCTCCCAAGCCCTAGGATTGCAGGTATGTACCACTTTCCAAATTTGAAACAGAAATATCCCAGTGACTCTTACCTGCTGTATCTCATTTGATATATCTGACCAGAAAATATCCTTCTCAAGGGGTGGACCTTTTGTTTTAAGGTGCATTTCCCATTCTGAAGTGAAACAAGAAAACATGTAAAGGTTTGCACTACAACATAGGAGGTTAAGTTAAAATGTAGAAGTTTATTAAACAATTTTTCTATGAAATCTAATGATGAATACAAACAGTACAGTCAGGGAAGAAAAGTATGACACAGTCACACAAATAGAACAATAAACTCAAAGAGGAACACAGTCAAGTCATTAGTGTGAGGATAAGACTTGGATAAAATAATGACATACAGAAGATGAAAATATCCCAAGACATCCAGTCCAAGGAACTCTTTACTCTTCACATTTGAAGTAGTCCTTTAAAGTTTCCCTATTTATTTTCAAATCATGTTGAATTAGTCAATAACAAATACTTTTTATAAACACTCACCTTGGAGAAAGCCTCGCTCCACTATGGTCAATTCTACTTCTTCCTCCAACCAAGAGATGAGGCTGGGTTTCAACAGCTGACGTCCTGCACACAGGGAAAGATACATTCATGTTAGAGGCTCAAGTAAGAGATGTCCAATCTTCCCATGATAAAAACTTTTTTTTTTTTGGTACTGGGGATCAAACTCTGATCTTTGCGCTTGTAAGGCAGGCAGCAGAACCGCTGAGCTAAATCCCCAGCCCCAAAACTACTTTTTTTTGAGACAGGGTCTTACCATTCTAGCTGGCCTCAAGCCCCTCCTGCTTCTGCCTCCTGAGTGCTGGGATTATAGACTTATGACACCATACCCAGTTGAAAACTATGTTTTCATTGAAAGAGTTAAAATTACTTCTACAAATTTGGGTGTCCTGAGATTTGACTTCCTTAACTCCTGAAATCCTTGGGCTTAAGCACACATTAAAAAATCCCCTTTAAAGGAGTTTAATACTCTTATACTTCATGCATTTAATAAATATTGTGTCCTTTGAAAAAAAGAAAAAAACACAACAGTGGTTCTCATCTTTGCAGTGAAACAAAGTCATGTGAAAGGTTTAAGACATGGATAAGAAAGAATCTCAGAATGTACATTTTTATTAGAAGGATGGTGATGCTATTGATCCATTTAGTTGGGAACCACCAATGGTAGATTAAATTGTGTTAAGAGAGACCTCGTTCCTTGTTTCCCACTGTACTCCGAGCTGACATCATTAATCCGGGGACACTTAAATATCTAATGCATTTTTGTCCCCTAAGAGGCCATTAGGAATGGTGGAAGTCTTACCAACTGTAGATAGGTTCTGGTAGTTCTCCAGCATCACATCTTTGTAAAGGTTTCTCTGAATTGGGTCCAGTGAAGTCCACTCCTCCTTGGTGAAATCCACAGCCACATCCTCAAAGGTCACCGAGTCCTAAACCATCACAGAAATACTAACTCCAGCCAAGTAAACTCTGCCCCTCCACCAATGTACACCAGTGAGTAAGGAAATAACACCAATGCCTATAAGGATTTTGAGGTGTCCCATATTTTATTCTGGGGTTCAAAGTGCCTAGGACATCTCCATCCACACTCCCTCACTATGGCCCTCTTCCCAACGATATGGCTTCTGGCACCTCTTACACAACCTCAATGAAACTCAGAGCTCTTTGCATACTAGTTCCTAAATAGCTCATTCCTGAGCATGTTACAAAGACTTGCTAAGTCATGACACACGACTAAATCATTTGAGAAATGACAGCGTCACCTTCCTTAACATCTGTCAGAACATTAAAAATTATCTAAACAGCACCCAGAAAGTGAAGATTCATGTGATTACCAAAATACTGAGGTATTTTGTGAGGTATAATCACGTTCTGGGGAATCTCAAGTAGGGCCTAAGTCTTGCTATAGGTCCTTCTTAGCTCTAAGGAGCGCCGGAGACAGATCTATTTAAAAAGAAACCTAATGTGTCTTCCTGGATGACCCAATTATGCTATTTTTGGGACGGATAACAAGCTTCACAAACTTGGCAATCCCTACAATCATTATTATCAAAGTATATGTTCAGAGATATTGCTCCATCATCTCATGTGAAAGCTATTTTCTTTCAAGTATCTCCCCACATTTTGATTTGCTGACATGGAATTCCCAATCTACCCTTAATATACATAATAAGAAATGCACTATACCAGTTGTATCCCACCAGAAGTATGTTCAGTCAAAAAACCCTGCTGAAGTGCTGAATCTTTGGTTTGTAACTGCATTTCCAATGCTGAAACAAACAAAAGAAACAAACAAAAAAAAAGTTAGGCATAAAGAAATGGAACAGCAGATTAAGAGTTGATAAACATAGCAACATCCTGTCTCACAATAATTTTAATAGCAGCTGGGGAAATAGCTAGCTCAGTGTTAAAGAGGCCCTGGGTCCAATCCTAAGAATGAGGATTTAAAAAAAAAAGTAAATATGATGAAACAAAAGTTAACATTTAAGATTTAGAGTGAAAATTCAGCAATGTTAAGGTCATAATTTTAATATATTAAACAATTATTCTGTGAAAATGCATGGTAAATAGTGAAAAGAAAACTTTTTTTGGTACCGGGGATCAAACTCGGGTCCTTGTGCTTGCGAGGCAGGCAGCAGAACCACTGAGCTAAATCCCCGGCCCAAGAAAACTTGTTATGGCTTATATCTAGATGTCCCCACAATGACTCATGCACTCATAGGTGGGGCTTTTGGGAGATAGCTGGATCATGGTGTGTGATACTGGATTATGAGTGCGATAACTGGATTAGTCTTCTGATTGGTTTAGCATAGTACTAGGTGCTTGGGAAGGCCTGCCCTGGGTGGCACCAACCAACAGGCTTACAGCCTGGATGAAATATAAAAGGAAAGGCAGGTTCACTATGTGCTGCTTTCTGCCTACCCTGCCACGGACGTTTTTTTTCTGTCGTGCTGCCCTGCCTGGAGCCAGCTGCTATGGACTGAAACCTCTGTAAACTATAAGCTAAAATGAATCTTTCCTCCTTTAACTTGTGGGTGTTGGCTATTTTGTCCCAACAACAAGGAAGTAACTAAAAGATAAATTCCCTCTCTATACTCCAAATAAACTAAACCTGTAGCTGGGGATTTGGCTCAGTGGTTCTGCTGCCTGCCTCGCAAGCACAAAGGCCCATGTTCGATTCCCAGAACCACCCCCACAAAAAGAATACTGCATACAAATAAACCAGGCCCATCACAGTACTGGGTTGTATTTCACAAGCACTCACCTGGGAGAACTCCTTTCTGCCCAGTCAGCAATTCTTCTTTCAAGCAAGCCATAGGGCTGGGTTTGATGGGTGTCTGACATCCTGTACACAGAAAAGATACTTTCATGAAGTGACAACAAAATTCCCTATGATTCAGGTCTATAAGTCTATTGAAAACAATGAAATTATCTCAAGTAGACTAAAAAGACAGACAAGGCTTTCATATGATCCCAAAATTGGTAATCTCTGACTACTGAATTGGTAACTAATGCAACAATGACATTTACAAAGCTCTAACATTTTAATTAACTAGGGAAATAAACCAAAAGAGATCTTTGTCAGGTAATAAACTAAACCAGTGGACTCGGAATGAAGCTTAGTAATGGAGATCTTCCTAGCATGCACAAGGACATGGGTCCCCGCCCTAGTAAAACAGAAAAATAAACTAAACCAGTGACTCATAAACATTAGAGTAAGCCAGGCATGGTGGTGCATGCCTGTAATCCCAGCACTCAGGAAGCTAAAGCAGGGGGATCAGTGAGTTTGAGGCCAGCCTGAGCTACAGGTTGAGTCCAGCCTGCACAACAAAAGCAAGACCCTGTCTCAAAAACCCAATCAATCAATTAATCAACAACAGAGTACACAGATTCAGCTAGCAAGGTGGCAGGACACCATCTAGAGTTTCTGAGATTCAGCAGGTAAAAGGGGGAGAATGAATATAAACTTGAGCAACAAAAGGCTGAGTAGGAGCCACATTTTACAAATTACCGCAGGACCTGGGGATGTAGCTCACTGGTAAGGATCAATATATAGCACCACCAAAAAAGAAGAGGCAATCAGACATGGTGGAGTGTGTCTTTAATCTCAGCATGCTGGGAGGATAAAGCAGGAGAATCAAAAATTCAAGCCCAGCCCAGGCATGCGGAACTTAGTAAGACCATGTCGCCAAGTTAAACAACAAAAAAAATTCTTTTTAGGGCTAGGGATGTAGCTCAGTGCAAAAGTCCTGGATTCAATACCCAGTGCCATAACAAACAAACAAACAAAACAAACAAAAATTACAAGGGGAAAAAAAAGTGTATCAGGGAACCAAGACCAGTCATGTAAAGGTACAAGATCCCAATGATGAATGTAACTGTACTGTATACCTAAAATGTACCAATAAACTCAATGAGAGGAAAAAAAAGTGTATCAGGGAACCAAGACCAGTCATGTAAAGGTACAAGATCCCAATGATGAATGTAACTGTACTGTATACCTAAAATGTACCAATAAACTCAATGAGAGGAAAAAAAAGTGTATCAGGGAAGAGACTACCTTAATCACCATTATCAGAGTTGACCTCACAGCTCCTAAATACAGCAAGTACATAACATACACTTTTTCCATACTAAGCTACAGGGTGTGTGACAGTCATACCTACTGTGGCCAGGTTCTCGTAATTCTTCACCATCTCATCACTATGGACGCTTGTCTGCGTCGGGTTCATTAAAGGTTCTTCCACCTGGAGGCCATCCACAGCCATATCCTCAAAGGTTTCTGAATCCTAAATCACAGCACATGCTGTCTTGAGCCAAGTAATAAAATATCTCCACCAATTTTCTGAGAACGAAGACAGGGGACCCAACTCCCACACAGAGATGTGAATTCTCTCACTGTCAATGCCAGGATTCAGAGGCCCTAGACCTCTTCTCTGCACCTACGCTCACTAATCATCTACTGTGCTCAGTTTCAATGGCACATCTCAAACATGAACACACAGGACAGGAACCTCTTTTTGTCTTATTTACCCCTCCAATTAATCCTCCCATGTATTGCATATATTTGATATATAGGGATAGATGAATAAAGTCTTTTGAGAAAATGGCACTCTCATTTTGTATCTTTGACGACACTGAGCATTAAAAGCAGCACATCTGACACCATGTGGGTCAAATTACTTGGCAATTAATAAAAAACTACAGGGGCCAGGGATTTACCTCAGCGGTTCCACTGCCTGTCTCGCAAGTGCAAGGTCCCAAGTTTGATCCCCAGTACCCCACCACCAAAAAAACGTCTGGAAGAGCTAAAAAAAACTGCAGTAACTTTCAAGGGAATCATTCATAAAAAGTGAAAGGCTCCACTGTCTGGGGAAATTCAATTAGGGACTCAGTCCTTGTATGAGGCTTTGTTTCTTTTACGAAGCCCTGTAGAAAAGTCTGCCTACGTGAAAATGTGCCTACTTGGTAGATGCAATGTAAGTGTGTGGAATGAAATACATTCTTCATACTTGGTAATCTCTCAGGGAGTCAGCCACTGTCCTTTCTGTCTCTATGTCTTCTTCATGACTGCAGACTGAGTCCCCAGAAAGTAGACTTCCTGGAAAAGAGAGAAGATATGACAACCCAGAGCTGACCAGAAGCCCATTCGTGTCACTTACACATCTTTCCATCCTAGTTCCAAATTCTGACATAATCAAAGAACTAAGGTACAAAATCTCTAAGAAAGCACAATGCCACGTATGGCCAGAAAAAGTGATGGCAAATCATGCAGTCTGTCAAGAAAGTATCCTGGTCTCACTTCACAAGTAGGGAGTGAAGCCCTGAGATTAATTTCCCCATGGCAACAGAATTCATTAATCCGATTAAGCACCACCTCTTCCCAATGGCGACATACCAGGGAGCTGACTTCCACACAGCGCTCTCTGGCCCACTTCAACACCTCAGGAATGAACCAGCAGCACAGCTATTCTAGCCCACACCACTAGGCTCTGTATCATGCAGGGGGGCTAAAGCAGATTCTCTGGCAAAAACACCAGCAATGGGACTTACCATGGGATAAACTGGTAACATCCATCTTGTAAGTCTAATGGTGAAAAATGTGTGATCACGCTCTTCCGTGATTCCAAGATACGTTAGGGCAGCTTAGGATTCTTAAGTGGATAGTAGCAACAGCTATTCCTTTTTAAACAGGGCTACGTAGATTCCTGTTGACATCAATCATTTAATCAAGAAGCATTACTTTCTGCAGGTAACAGATGTACATACGTGGTACAGATCATTTAACATGAGATTAGTAATACTAGCACCATTTAATGAGGACCGCTAAGCATTGTCCGTTATACTGACAACTTTTGTATACATACTTATGTATATACAAGAGCTCCATCATAGTTATTCTGTTATTTAAATAATCCCTCACAGCAGATACATAATCATAATCACTATTTAATGATGAAAAATAAAAAACCCCCATATATTTAAATTCCAGTAATGAGGAAATAGTGAAATGACACTTCAAGGCAGATAAAATCTGTCCCTAAAAACTCAACTGTGGTGGACCGGGGATTTAGCTCAGTGGTCCTGTCACCTGCTTTGTAAGCGCAAGGTCCCAAGTTTGATCCCCAGTACCTCCCCCCCCAAAAAAAACCTCAACTGTGGTTGTCATGACATGATAACCAATATGGACTCTGGAAATTGATACATGGGATACTTAAAAAAATGTAATGTTCTACTTTTACAAGTAAGGTATTAAAAAAACAAAAATGTCATGATTTTCCAAACACATCTGAATACATCTCAATCACGGGATTCCCACTTTATAAACACAGAGTGTTCCAACGCCCGCCAGTGCTCACGGCAAAGAGAAGAACACACTAAATCAGTGTGCTAAACACCTGAGGATCTGATGGGTCTTCTCAATACCTTATGTCATTACTGATAAGCTTTCTTTTCCCAGTAACTTCTGCTTCTATTTTTTACTTTTTAATCTTTAGTTTTCATATAAAGACAATTTCAAAATGTAGTAAAGAGCATCAATAAAAGAAAAATATATGATCTCTAAGACACAGCATTTGTAAATGTAGTCATAGGACAAAAAAGAATAAAGAAACCTTATGGTATTTATAAGAAAGTGAAATAAAAACAGTGAATTCTCTCTTCAAAGGACTTCAAGAGAAAAAGACAGTAAGACAGAAATAGCATTTAAAAAACCAAGGCTGGGTGTGGTGGTGCATGCCTGTAATCTCACCTTTTCAGGAGGCTGAGATAGGAAGATCTGAATTTCAAATTCTGCTATGCAGGACACTTACCAAAATTTAAAAAAAAAAAAAAAAAAAAAAAAAAAAAAAGGAGGAAGTCCTCTGTTCTACCTCCAGTACAGCAGGAGAAAACACAAAGAAACAGTCTGTGGTTGTGCCTTGGTGGTAAAGATCTTGCCTACAATAAGAGGCTCTTCTGGGGGGAAAAGGGGTAAACATCTCCCACACCTACAAAATATATCAGTATCTTTATACAAGAGGATCTGAGTTCTCAAAAAACAAAAAACACCACCAATCCACACAGGACTAGAATAGTGTTACAACCAGACATTCAAAAATCAAAGACAATGCTGAGGATTGTAGCTCTGCATTAGAGCACATGCATAGTCTATATGAATCTATGAGTTTGGTCACCAGTACAGGAAAAGAAAAACTCAATGGCAGGAAGAGCACCCTAAAGGCAAGAGAAAGAAGATCACATACAAGAGTTCCAAAAGGCCCACGAGCAGATTTCTCACGAGAGAACTTATAGGACAGGACAGAGTAGGATGATATGTAAAAGCTGCAATCTACCCTTCAAAAAATTAAAGAGAATACTTCAAACTCACTTTATGAGGTCAGCATTATTGTGTTACCAAAGCCAGAGAAGGAGGCTATGAAAAAAATTAATCAGCCAAGGTGACACACTCCCATAAGCCTAGCACTTTGGAAAACCAAGGCAGGAGGATCACCAATTCAAGGCCAGATTTAATACAGATGCAAGAAAACTTCACCAAAATTACTAGCAAATCTAATTAACAGAACAGTAAAAGGATCATTCTCAGTCAGCCTTGGTGGTGCTCACCTTAATCCTAGCTGCTTGGCTGGCTAGGATTAAGAGAATCAGAAATTTAAGTCCAACTTGGGTAACTTACTGAGATCCTGTCTCAAAAAATAAAAAGGACTGGGGGTGTAGCTCAATGGAAAAGTACCACTGGGTTCAGTCTCTCAGAGAGAGAGAGAGAGAAAGAGAAGATCATTCAGCATGATCGAGAGAAATTTATCCCCAGATAAGCCACAAATGCTGTACCTAAAATAGCCAAAGGAATTTTTAGCTTAAAATGAAATCAACTGAAGCCATACTATCTATGTAATCTGACTACCTATCAAAAGGCTGCAGAAGCTTAAGTACCAGGATAAAAACAAACAGTCCAGGACAACAAAAGAGAAACCACAGGGGTCGGGGATTTAGCTCAGTGGTGCTGCTGCCTGCACTACCTCCCTCACAAGCCTACACTGCCTGCCTCACAAGCACAAGGACTGGAGTTCAATCCCCAGTACAAAAAAAAAAACAGAAACCACAAGTGACATTCATGCCAACTGATCTGCAAAGTATATACTGGATAAGCAGTTCAATTTCAAAAGTAGTACATATAGCCATTGTGGAAAATATGAAAATTCCTCAAAAATTAAAAATAGAACTACCAAGTACTACAGCAGTCCCTCCACTGAGTTTATCTGCATCGGACAGGACAACAGAATGTTACAGGGACATTAACACTCTGCAGATGCTGCTGTAGCACTATTCCAAACAGACCAAACACTTCGACAACCCAAGAGCCCATCAATAGACAGCATACAGAAAATGTACTATGTATACTATTATTTAGCATAAGGGAGGGGGGATTCTGTCTTGGTACCAACATGGATAAACCTACAGGATATTACGGTAAGCTAGGCACAAAAAGCAAAACACCAACCAAGCTCATCTAAATAGACTGCAGAACCTCACAGAAACAGTGAAATCATGGTTACCATTGCCTGGGAGTGAGCGCTTTAGTGGTGAAAGGACCCAAAATTTCAGCAAGACAGGAAGTTAACATATATGTACATGGTATATAATGTATAGTGGCTATCCACAGTAATATCCTGGAAAATTAATGAGAGCAGGTTTTAAAGTTTTCTAACCACACACAAAATAATGAGGCAATGCATGCTGAACAGCTGGATTTCCCAGGCCACAATTTAAGCATATAGAAAACATCATGTTATACTCCACAAATATATGTAGTCTTTACTTGTGAACTGCAACAACAACAACAAAAAACAAACATGTCTGCCTGCCCCCTACACAGGCAAAGGAACCATAACCAACTCTCATCTACATACCCGGCCTAATGGGAAACTGAGAGCAAGGGACAGCTGGGAAGTTAATGCACGGTCTCGGCAGGGCGTCCACCAACCTTTTGGCTTGCCTGCACCACAATGAATGAGCTGGTCTTGGGCCACACATACAACATGTAATATAGTTAACATAGTGAAATAATAAAACTCCCTTTGTTTTTTAGTTTTTAACGTATTATTTTATGAAATAACAAAGTAGGCCCCAGTGTAATAATTAAAAACTTACAGGTCTGCTCAATAACCGATAATGCCACACATGTAGTAGATAGAAATAACTCAGGTAATCATTGCTTTTTACTTGCTAAGTTTCAGTGCAATCAACTCTGTGCAGCAGATGCAGGAGGTGCAATCAACACAGAGCATCCTGTTGTCCCCTACAGTCCTTGCTCAAGCACACTGCAACTGAGTCGTGAAAATTTTTGCTAAAATCACAATAATAAATGTTGAAAGTTTATAATATTGTGACATTATTAGCTTTCCAGGCCCACATACAGCCTATGAGCCACAGACCAGACATATCTGGTCTACAGGGAGTTCATTGCCAAAAAGGACTTTCATTGCTGCCTGTGATTATCCACAGTGCACAGCTAAGGGAGGACAAGAAAGGAAACATGTGACAGGATCAGCTTATGACACTGTTACACCTCGTGGCATGAGCTGGGTTCTTGGAGTGTGAAGATGTACCCATCGAGAAATTATAAATTTTTAAAAATTTACATTATGATCAGTTTCTGTAATCCCAACTTTTTTCTTACTTTTTATTTTTATGGGAACTGAACCCCAGAGCCTTTGCAATGAGCTACATGCCCAGCCTTCGTCTGTCTGTTTTTTTGGTCTCACTATGCAGTTTAGACGGGCCTCAAATCCATCCAATCCTCCTGCCTCAGTCTACTGAATGCTGGGATTAACAAGCATGCACTACCATGCCTGGGCCCTTTTTTATTCTTTATTTGGAGACTGGCCTCACTAAGTCAGTCAGCCAGGCTAGGCTTGAACCTGGGATTCATCTGCCGCAGCCCCCCAGAGTCCTAGGATTATAGGTATTCATCACCATGCCCAGCTGTGCAACATCTTAATACAAACTGAGAAAGCTAACACTTGTCACTTGCATTGTATAGATGTTTAAGCTGACCTAGCAATCAGAGGTAAACCTCAAAAAGACGACAAACGGCAAAACTGCAATTAAACTTACGAGCGTTTGGCACCTAGCCCTCAATCAGGTGACCCCTTTACAATGGCCAGGAAACAGGTCTAGCATCTCCTAGTTCCAGGGAATCTTGGGACGTCATGTCACAAAAAGCCTTTGCCTCTTGGCTTATTCCTTATGGTCCTTCTTGTATCTGTGCAGAGGAGGAGGTAACCTTGGAGAGCACAAGCCCGTCCTTCCCTGCTCATATACAATCAAAAGTCAGTCAGTCACCTGCTCCATTCCAGGAGACAGCCTGGCTTGTTACAGAATGGGAACTGCTTCTTGTAGCCTCTGGACATGGTTTGAAATTTGAAGTTGGGCATGCTGGCACACGCCTGTAATCTCAGGTTTGGGAGGTTGAAATGAGAATCGCTGCAAGTTCAAGGCCAGATTGGGCTTACATAGTGAGTTCAAGGCCAGCCTGAACTACACAGTGAGACTTTTATCTAAAAAAAAAAAAAAAAAAAAAAACATGGTTTGAAAGGCTCACAGGACAGTACTGGTTTGCTATAAAGATTTGATTTTGCCAAAGGCTTCTGTTCCAGTGCTAATGCTGACAGGCTATGCCCACAGCCGGTCTTACTGTGAAAGCAAAATATAGTTCACTCTGCATGGCACCCTTAGTTTGACAGAAAAGGGGAAGTCAGGAACTGAGGGTATATATTTCAGTGGCAGAACACTTGTTCAACATGAGAGGGGCCTTGGATTCAATTCCCGGTGCTGCATGTGTAAATAAAAAGGGGAGGTCACAGACAGCTGGGTGTGGTGGTGCATACGTCTAATCCCAGCACTTTGGGAGGATCACAAGTTCAGGCCCAGCCTGGGAAACTTAGCAAGACCCTCTCAAAAAAGATGTTTAGAAAGCACTGAAGGTGAGGCATGGTGGCACACACCTGTAATCCCAGCACTCAGGAAAATGAGGCAGGAGGATCAAGACCAGCCTGGGCTACATAGTGAGTTCCAGGTCAGTCTCAACCACACAGTGAGACCCTGTCTCAAAAAAAAAAAACAGAAAAGAAAGAAAGCACTGAAGATGTAGTTCAATGTTAGGCCCTGGGTTCAAATCCCAATAACACACACACACCTCATGTACCTACCACATACTGGAGTTCACTAGGAAAAACAAGAGCAAAATGGAAAAGGAAAGGCACAAGTATTGTGCATGTGTATCTGGGCCACAATACAAATACTGGTCTCCACAAACAGTTCCTTTTAAAGTAAAAACCTCTGCAGTTGCCTTGCCCAGGCTTCTATTTATAACTTTTTAATCTTAATCCCACTGCATAAGGGCAAGAGGACACATCAGGAGTGTATGATCCCAGGTATTTGACCTTACATGGCACTGGTTAAGAGCAAAAATTTATTAAAAAAAAAAAAAAAAAGTTTAGGCAAGACAAATAACTGCAGGGGTTGATTAAATCTACTCTTAGTTAAAAAGATTTTTTGCGGAGACCATCCTGTCTGCCAATTAGACTATCTACGACCATCAGGGACATAAAGGTTCAGATCAAATTATTTTCTGAAACTGTATGATTCATTATTTTGAAAAAGGAAAAAGTTTATCGTAGTTGTTACCAGCAATACCTGTAACTCTGAAGGGAAAAAGGAGTATTCTGGTAATGCCTAGTATTGTGGTCCTAGTAATATAAAGGCATACATGATTTTTATTTTGGTTTTCTGTAACCCAGGAGATTCCAAGACGCTTTTGTTTTGCTTTTTGAAAAGGTGACCTTAAGCAATGGCTAAATAATTTATAGTAAATGCTCAGGATATTCGTGACTGCTACAGGTTTTGCCAGGTGTGCTGATTCTTGGATCTTGTACCTTCATCAATGACATACTGGGTAAGGGATGAAAAGCAATATTCCACTGCAGTGCACCATGCGTGGCGCTCAGCAGACCATTCGTATGATTCACAGCTCACAGCGTTCTCTCAGTTCGTCTCCAGGACCTGTTAGGTTGCCAAGGGATCTGGAGAAGAGAGGACCTCCTCCAGGTCCCTGCCATCTGCCAAGGGACTAAAAAGAAGCTCGCTCTTGAAAGATCCTCCAGTGGAATCTATCAGCAGTCTTAAGATTTGCCCCCACAATGGCCTTGACAAGCTGTGGGGACCCAGGAGCCAGACCATAATGCACAGCTGGCCCCAGATCTGAGACACTGTTTCCAGCAGTATCCAGTGGTAACCAGTTACTGCTCATTTTAATGATGGCTGAGAGGGCAATTTATTCCACCAGATGCTGGGGCAACAAAAGGATCATAAAAGATCCGAGATTCCAGGAGGTGTGAAAGGTTGCCAAAATGTCTACAGGGAAAGAGCTCCTGCTGGTTTTAAATTTGTAAGCACCATTTATAAATGAGGGGCATGCTCCCAGAACCCAAAAAGGAGATGCTGAACTACAAGTCATTTGTAAACGTATATAAATAATGTCCCTGGAGGCCGATGTAATGAATATTATGTCCTACCTGTGGTCCTGGAGAAAGGTGGGATTTGCTTTCGGTGTTGTCTTCAAAGACTGTGTGTGATGACAGGTGTTGAGGTGCCCCAGGATAACCCGGGAAGGTAAACGCTGTCTTTTGCCAAGCAGAGGGTGTAAGGCTGGTGAAACAAGCAACAGATATAAGACATTATCTAAGCACAAAAGCAAAATGTTTGCCAGCTGCTCATTACAGAGAATCTGTAATTTTAATTATACTGAATGTCGGTTATAAGGATTTTCACAAACAAAACTCAACATTACTTTTATAGTAATTCACTATGAGTGCTATTTGCCTATTCATTTATTCAGATTTAAGAGCAGGAATGCTATCAAGAAATCAACTAACAGATGCTGGTGGGCTGGGGATTTAGCTCAGTGGTGCCGCCACCTGCCTCACAAGCACAAGGTCGCAAGTTCAATCCCCTGGACCAATGCCGGTGGGGCTGTGGGAAGAAAGGAACCCTTCTCCAATGGGGGGCATGCAGACTGGTGCAACCACTGTGGAAATCAACATGGAGATACCTCAAAGAACTAGGATTAGAGGCCCTGTTTGACTCAGCTATTCCTCTGCTGGGTATCTTTCCAAAAGAAATGAAAGAATCACCCATATTTATAGCGGCACAGTTTGTAATAGCTAAAACTTGGAAACAACCCAGATGCCCATCAACTGGAAACTGGATAAAGATGTGGTTTTTCTATAAAATGGAGTACTATTCAGCCATAAAGAATGAGAAACTTGAGACATTTATAGTGAAATGGATGCACATTGAGGTTATAGTCTCAAGTGAAATAAAGAGGACACACTTGAGTAAACACCAAATAGTTTCTCTGGTGTGAAAAGCTAAAAGTATAAATAAGGTTCAAATGGTATAATTGATAGTGTGAAATAGGAAGAAAAAGGCTGAAGCGGAAGTGTAAAGGGGAAGGGAAAGAAAATAAGAGAAATGAAAAAAATGGAAACAAAGTCTTTATAAATAGGGAAGGGTGAAGTGGGAGAAGGGAGGAAGGGGTATGGGGAAAAAAATAAGAAACTAAGACATATAATGTAAAGGTACAAGATCCCAATGATAAATGTAATTGCACTGTTTGCTTTAAATGTACCAATAAGCTTAATGGGGGGAAGGGGACAGGCAACAAGAAGCTGGGGATTTAGCTGTGCTGCATTTGCCGAATACAGGCAGGGTTTCAGCACTGGGGGAAAAAAAAAGTCTGGCCAAACAGAGAAATAGTGGTGAGAGCCGCCAAGTTATTAAGTTTCATATAACAAGTTTTCTCTTCTTTTTGAGGGGAGTGCTCAGGATCAAACTCAGGGCTTCACACATGTGAGACAGGTGCTGTACCCACTGAGTTATACCCCAGTTCTTATATAACAAGTGTTAATCCTTGAGGAGTATGTATTAACTTATTTGGGGCCATATTAACTATTTTTTGGAGGGTTTTTTTGTGGGGGGGGGGTTGAGACAGGGTCTCACTATGTATTTGAGCCTGACCTGGAACTCACTATGTAGCCCAGGCTGGTCTTGAATGCACAGCAATCCTGCCTCCGCCTCCCAAGTGCTGGGATTACAGGTGTGAGCCACCACGCCCACCTTATTTTGTGGTTATTTAACACAAGAAACTTTAGCATAGCAACAGCTAACAAGTTGAAAGGGCTGGAGCACATTAACCAGGAGACTTGTTACCATAGATAAGTTAAGAAACATCCTGTGGTGTCTCAGGTAGACAGGAAGCAAAGTGCTCCTCCTTGCCACTTCTCCAGGGTGTCACCACTCTGTCCACCCTGCACGGCATTGCCATCACTCATGGGGTTAGGGGAGAAGAGGGACGGCAGAAGTAGGGTAGCAGCAAAGTGTCCGCTGCCATTCCTCCCTGGAACAGACTCAAGTTCTGGCGCACTTGCTTTTTTGTTAGTTATGCTTCTGCTGGCACTCTCTGTGCACTGAGAGTCGTCAACCCCTATCCCTGGCATCCACAGCCTTGTTTCTCACCAAGGAATCCTCACCACAAAGGAAGCACGACAACGAAGCACAGCCACGCAAGCATCTAGTCTCCTCACACTGCCACTCGGGAATAGCTCATCAGAATGAAAAGTAGAATGGCTCACTGAGCACTCGGCTGCAGGGCCGAAAAGAGACACCATGTTCTGACCAAAGTTTCTTTCTCACAGGACAAAGCATATCCTCTGAAACAGAGAGCCTACTGTCTTTCGCTGCAGTCAGGGTATACGGGTCCAAAACTGCTTCCAGTTCCAGCAACTTGAGTACTGAGAGTCTGGAGACAAAAGTCTGCTCCAATACACATGGCTCATTTGGGGCTTTGCTCAGCAACAAGCCGAGAGGCAAAACTGCAGACTCTGCTCCAACTTCTTTGCCCGTTTACATACACATTATTAAAGGTTCTAATTCTGTCTTTGTGTAACAAAATACCCAGTGAGAATCTGACTAAAGGAGTAATTAATTAACATGGCCTGTGACTACTCGGCCTGTGTCCTCTCACTATGGGGAAGGGTCAGAACCTTCTCTTGTATCTTTTTAGGTAGAAACAGACTTGACTAATCATGAGGAAAGTGAAATGGTGTGCAGAAGGCACGCAGCATGGTGAACAGACACCGCAGACTGTGCCAGACACCAACCCATTTATCTAGCTCCTATTTCACTTTTCAGATTTGTATGTATGTATGTCTTTTGTACCAGGGATTGAATTCCGGACCTTGCACTTGGGAAGCAGGTGGCAGAGCCACTGTGCTAAATCCCCGGCCCACGCTCCAATTTTAATACCAACTTCAACTGGAAACACAGATCATATTCTTCATACAGACATCAAGGTTGGCACGTGAAAGTGCATCACAAACTGTACCAGAGTAACTGCCTCCACACCCATTTTTAGGCTTCACTGAAATTACTGGAAATGCAGTGGAAAACCATGGCCGGGTTAAAGCTTCCCCTCTACATGGTCATATGGCCCGCGTGTTCATCATACTGATGAAAAGCCCAACACCTCTCACACATCCTACTGATCATGATCAAACCTAAGAGCCAACCCCAGAACCAGGTAAGTAAAGCCAGGTTTGAAAGTATTTCCACATTAGCTAATCCACTGCCCCAGTGGAAAAGCCTGTGAAACAATGCCCAGGGTCCTTTACAAAGGCACAACCCCAGCTGGGCACTGGGACATACATCCTGAAACCTCAGTTTCTTGAGATTAAGGCAGGAGGGTCCCAAGTTTAATCCCAGCTGGGGACCTTAGCAAGACGCTGTGGTGAAATAAAAAATAAAAAGATAATGGAGATATAGCTTGCTGTGATGCTCCCAGGTTCAATTCCATCAAAAAATAAAAAGGAGGGCCTGGGATTTAGCTCAGTGGTTCCACTGCCTGCCTCACAAGCGCAAGGACCCGAGTTTGATCCCTGGTACCAATAAACAAACAAACAAACAAATAAATAAAATGGCACGGCACAGCTGGGGATTTAGCTCAGTGGTGCCTCACCTGCCTTGCAAGCTCAAGGTCTTCAGTTCGATCCCCAGTAAGGAAAAAAAAAAAAAAA